ATATGACAAGAAGGATATTGTAAGCAATAACACCACTGTCTTCTATTCCCAGGTGAATTGTTGTTTTTGGAAAATAATTTCTCCAGTTCTTTGAGCGTAGAAAGTTACAAGACCCGCTGTCTCACGTGTGCATCACAGTGCTGTGCCTCTCTACCTTGCCCCAATTGTTGCTTTGTAAGTTATTGTAATAAAAGGAATGAACAAAAAATCAACACGCTCCATTATGCATGTGCACACCAACACACACGTTTTATACATGTACATGTATATATGTGATATCAGTATCTTCAAATGACTCTTGATTTGTCATCCTAAAAGTTCTTTCCTTTCTCCACAGGTTATGTTCTGCAGTGAGGAATGTAGAGAACAAGGCCTTGCTGATTTCCACAAACAAGAGTGTGAGATTTTGCCAGCTCTAGCATCCTTCAGCGATGATGCACCGACCACTTTAGTCTTTAGGATACTGATGAAGCTGACATTCCCTCGCCTCAAGGAATTGCTGCCCATTCTGAAGCACGAGGAAGAGACGCTGCCCCCTGAGAAACGTGGATTTAATGAGGACGGCATATATGATGCAGAGGACTTCCGGGTGATATATCATTTGTGCACTAACAAGCACCAGCTGTCAAGTTTGTCGATTCTTGGAACGTGCACCGTGGCTTTCGTAGTTACCAAGATACTGATTGCCAGTAAGAAGTATTTTGTAGACGGCCACGGGAATCCCATATCCCCAAGTGAAGAGGATATCGCTCTTGTTGGGGGCACTCTGGTGAGGATCCTAATGGCAGTGGACACCAACAGCTTTTGTCTCAAGGAACTACAGGTAAAGTAGAGAGAAGTTATTAGATTGACCTTATGAGCTATGGTTTTGTCACGAACGCCCTCCTTTTCAGTCTTGGTGGTTATATATATATATTTTTCTACGTTTTCCCAGGTCTCCTATAATCGTAATAGGGACGTCTGCAAAACCGATGTGGGAATGAAACTCTGCTCTACTCTTAGTTTATTGAACCACTCCTGCAACCCAAGCGTCTACTCGAGTACTGGAAGTGGCACTAGTACCTCGAGAGCCATCCGGTTCATCCCAGCCGGCCAAGAGGTGACGACTTGCTATGGCATCACCTATTACGACCTCGAGAAGAGCGAGCGATGGGGGCGTCTGAAGGAATATCATTTCACCTGTTGTTGCGAGGCCTGTGAGAATAACTGGCCGAGAAAGGGTGAGCTCCCATCCAAACTGCTGATGAAGTGCTTGGGATGTTCAAAACCAGTCAGTTGCAGTTCAGGCAAGTGTACCAAGTGTGACAAAGACGAAGGCGGATCTGGAAATGGAGACGGGTCTAACCTAAGGAAAAGGAACCAAGAAATCGGAAAACAAATCTCTGATGCAATGAAGAATTACCATCACGTCCGCAACAGCGAGAGGTTCTTGGATAGAAATGATGAGAAAGACATTGAGGTCATCAGTAAAGTTATTGAACTTATGGACAAGTATGTGGTTCTGCCTTGTAAGTTCTATTACGACGCCCAACAGGCACTGCAGATATACTATAACAGAGAAAGGAAGTTCACTTACGTCACTTCTGGTTCTGAAAATATGCTCTCTAACTATTACTGGGCTCCGTTACCGTGAACGGGAGTGGCCAGCACACAACCAGTCAGAACCTTCGAAGTTGCTTCAGTAAGAAAATGTTTAACAGTTCCTTTTTATGTACATTTACTTGCATCACAAAAATTGTAAAATGTTCAACCATAAACACTAAGAACATGTAGCATTTTGTTTTTTTCAGTTGCCGGAGATGAATAATATGTTTCTTAGTTAAATCATTGAAATCTTGACAATTCTGATTTTTTGTGAATTGCTACTGGCAAAGTTTAGATTTAGTGTCGCTAAAGTATTAAAAAGTGCCCTTCATTTTGATTTTCTTTATTTTTTCTTATAGACTACATTACCTTTAGGAAATACATGTTTCTTTTAGTTCAGGCTTTCAGAATATTCAGGATTATGCAAAGTTATATTCTTTTAGATGTATGGCTAAGGTTTGGGTACACATCTTGCCAAAGAATTTACAGTTCAGTTCCTTTTGTTTCCGTTTCGTAGTATGATAACGGTTCCCACTTTGCAGTGATCTGATGTATGATAATCAGTCTTATAATTTAAGGAATATTATCACATGTCAGTAATCAAACAACTTCAATTGGTTGTTGGAAAGTTACAGTCGTTTAGGTAAGCCACCCACTTCGGTGTTGTAATCCGATCTTTCCAATTGCTTTACTTGCTTTTATTTGTGACTTTTGCAATTTTTTGTGACCTTTAAATCACCTGTAGACAGAACGATGTGTCTGTCTGTCAGGAGCTTTTTGCACATTTTTTTAGGTCATTGTTATTAATTATTGCGCGGGGTCAAGTTTCTGATTGACCAAGTGAGGTTAGCCAGTTTTTTTTCCGTTGATTTTTGAATTAGGACCCCTTTATACAGACATTTAGTTGATAAGCAAATTTTCAAAATGTTTTAGACTGATTACAAGGTTTTTATATACCGATTATAAAGTAATCTGTACACTGCGAAATAAACAGCACGTGTGAAGTTTCTTGTTTAAATATCACAAGCGCGCGCACAGGCAATATATATCAAATATATATATATATATATATATATATATATATATATATATATATATATATATATATAATATATGTATGTATGTATGTGTGTATATATATCGAATATATTGTATATATGTATTATATAATATATATATATATTATATATATATATATAATTATATGTACATATATATGTATATGTACAGATTATATTTAAATAAATATAAATATGTACTTTATATACATACACACACACACACACACACACATATATATATATATATATATATATATATATATATATATATATATATATATATATTATATTATATGTGTGTTTATATATACATATATATACATATAGATAATACTTGTGTGTATGTATATAATAAGTATATATTTATATTTATCTAAATATATATGTACATGTACATTGTATATATATATATATATATATATATATATATATATAATATAATATATATATGTGTGTGTGTGTGTATATATATATGTATATGTATATTCGTATGTGTATATATAATATATTATATATATATATATATACATACATACATAATATATATATATAATATATATATATATGTATATATATATATATATATATATAATTACACATGTTATTATGTATATAGATATACATCATATATATGTATATATATATTTACATATATATATATATATATATATATATATATTATATATATATGAGGGGGCTTCAAAAAGTAAAAATTGATTGGATTTTAATATCAATGCACCTGAACATTCTTGTACCAACGTGCTAAAACATGTTGAAACATGAACCCTTAAAGACCGCCGGTGTAGAATGGAGGGTCTTGTGATCTGAACCATGTCAGAGCAGCTCTTTCAATGATTTTTTTAAAACTTTGGAAACAAAAAAAGTCGCATGGGGCCAAATCAGGGCTGTAAGAGGGATGGATGGTCGAAATTCACGTAGCACAGCTCTTGTTTACCGTTGTGGAAGACTGCGCGATGATGCAGCTTTCCAGGGTGTTTTCCAATATTTTTTTTGAGTTTTCTCTTTCATAATAAGCAGATGTAATTGTCTTCGTGTCCTCGAGGAAGTCAATTAGCCAAATCCCTTTTGCATCCCAGAAGACAGTGGCCTTGACCATTCCTCTTGAACTCTTCTAACCTAAATTGTCTTTTAATTTTCTAAGCCAAAGGGAAGCCATACTGTTTGCACAAGGATATTCCTGGTTGACTCGACCAGGCTTCTCTTAAACAGCTGCAAATTGCTAAAGAAAGAAAGAAAGGAAAAAGAAATCCAGGAAAGGCTGGTCTAAGGTGAGTCCACACGAGCTTTTTTTCTTTATTGTCGATTGGAATTCAGTTCTTGGGAAATATTTCTAGTCATACTGGATCGGCATCGTTCACGCTGAATATATCTAATTGTCAGAGGCAGGAGGTAGTAGTGTATAGCGTGTTACATGTTATAAGTATGATATATAGAATCGTGTATGTTATATGAATCATATAATGTATATAAATCTATCTATCTATCTATGTATACCTATATATACATATATATACACATATACATATATGTGTGTGTGTGCGCGCGCGTGTGTGTATACATATCACACGGGTTGCAATGTTTTCAATGAAAACACTGCATTCAAATCTACCGGGTACTGACTCTACATGCCCTCATTTTACCTCCTTAGTGTGTTACTTATCCATATATACAAACCTGTATATAGATTCTTAAAGATTGTTATATTAAAAGAATCATTGACATAAACGCAATATCTTCATATTTTACGGACAGCCAGTTAACCTCACCGCGCCCTTCTATCGTAAATTTTCCGATTCAACCTGAAGGAATGTGTCTTTCCAGTGGACTACATTAACTTCTACGACTACTCCTGCAGGAACCAAACCTGGAAAGGCATCACCTGGTCAACAACTCGATCTTTCCGAGAGGTCAGCAAGGGTCATTTTTGGACGACAATCTGGAAGCAGCTGTTTTGGGGTTCATAGTTCTGGCTTCCTCAGTACTCCTAAGTCCTTTCGTACTCATTCTCAAGGAAGGTCCCAAAGCCGGCTTAGCCTTTTACTGCCCCGTATATGTCCCATGACAGACGGTCGAGATCTCGAATCAATACATGCAACACTTTCTGCCTCCCACACACAAAAACATTAACCGGCAACCTTGTCATTGAATGATCTACAAATACAGTTGGTTCGGGAAAAAAAAACGACAAGATCTGTCTATCTATTTAGCTATCTGAGCTATATGTGTGTGTGTGTGTGTGTGAGAGAGAGAGAGAGAGAGAGAGAGAGAGAGAGAGAGAGAGAGAGAGAGAGAGAGAGAGAGAGAGAGAGAGAGAGAGAGAGAGAGAGAGAGAGAGACAGACAGACAGAGACAGAGACACCCGCAATCACCTACTATTCTTGGAAAGAATTACCAGGTCTAACCTCTTCCTGGCGGTTCAGATCCCAAACCGTTGTGCGTCTAATAGGTCGCTAAACGATCTATTTCACGTCCATAACAGGAACGGGTGCACGGGGAGGGGGGGGAGGCACGGTAGTTAAGATTAGAGAGCATTTTTCGTAACGTAATTTGTCTTTTTTTTTTTTACAATATATGATATAGATTGATGGTGCAATGGGCGTGGCTTGGAATGAACTACCCCTGACCGCTTTTTATTTATCATTTTCGTATTTATTTATTATTTCCTACTTCGTGGAGGGCTCTGTTCCTTTCGCAGTAAGGAAACATGCCATTTTTTTTTAGAATTTTTCAAAAACGAAGCAGACATGTTAAACCAAGCTCGAGAAAGTTAACCAGAATGCTATGGAATGCTATACCGGGAAGTGTCCCCTTGCCCCCTCGTCCCCATCCCCCCCCGTCCCCATCTACGAAAAAACCGGTAATTGTTTCCTCGCCCCTCCCACCACCCCCGTTCCCTGCTATATAACACTATACACGTAAATGTACCTCTCCCTCCCCCCCCCCTTCCCCCGTGCCCTCCTATGTAATGCTATACTGGCCCCCGTCCCCTGTCACCCTCCCCCCCGTCCCCTGTCACCCTTCCCTCCCCCTTCCCCCGAGCCTTGCTATGTATGTATACCGGCCCCCGGCCCCCTGTCACCCTCCCCCCTCCCCCCCGTCCTCTGTCACCTTCCCTTTGCTATGTAATGCTATACCGGCCCCCCGGCCCCTGTCACCCTCCCCCCTTCCCTCCCGTCCTCTGTCACCCTTTCTCCCCCCTTCCCCCCGAGCCTTGCTATGTAATGCTATACCGGCCCCGCCCTGTCACCCTCCCCCCTTCCCCCCCGTCCTCTGATCACCCTTCCGAGCCTTGCTATGTAATGCTATACCGGCCCCGGCCCTGTCACCCTCCCCTTCCCCCCGTTCCTCTGTCACCTTTCCCCCCGAGCCTTGCTATGTAATGCTATACCGGCCCCCGGCCCCTGTCACCCTCCCCCCTTCCCCCCGTCCTCTGTCACCCTTCCCTCCCCCCTTCCCCCGAGCCTTGCTATGTAATGCTATACCGGCCCCCGGCCCCTGGTCACCCTCCCCCTTCCCCCCCGTCCTCTGTCACCCTTCCCTCCCCCTTCCCCGAGCCTTGCTATGTATGCTATCCGGCCCCCGGCCCTGTCACCCTCCCCCTTCCCCCCGTCCTCTGTCACCTTCCCCCCGAGCCTTGCTATGTAATGCTATACCGGCCCCCGGCCCCTGTCACCCTCCCCCCTTCCCCCCGTCCTCTGTCACCCTTCCCTCCCCCCTTCCCCGAGCCTTGCTATGTAATGCTATACCGGCCCCGGCCCCTGTCACCCTCCCCTTCCCCCCCGTCCTCTGTCACCCTTCCCTCCCCCTCCCCCCGTCCCCTGTCACCCTTCCCGAGCCTTGGTAATGCTATACCCCCGTCCCCTGTCACCCCCCCGTCCCCTGTCACCCTCCCCCCCGTCCCCTGTCACCCTTCCCTCCCCCCCTTCCCCCGAGCCTTGCTATGTAAAGCCATACCGGCCCCCGTCCCCTGTCACCCTTCCCTCCCCCCTTCCCCCCGTCCTCTGTCACCCTCCCCCCCCGTCCCCTGTCACCCCTTCCCTCCCCCTTCCCCCGAGCCTTGCTATGTAATGCTATACCGGCCCCCGTCCCCTGTCACCCTCCCCCTTTCCCCCCTTCCCCCGAGCCTTGCTATGTAAAGCCATACCGGCCCCGTCCCCTGGTCCCCTCCCCCCTTCTCCCGAGCCTTGCTACGTAAATGCTATACCGGCCCCGTCCCCTGTCACCCTTCCCTCCCCCCTTCCCCGTCCCCTGTCACCCTTCCTTCCCCCCTTCCCCGAGCCTTGCTATGTAAAGCCATACCGGCCCCCGTCCCCTGGTACCCTCCCCCCTTCCCCGAGCCCTGCTATGTAATGCTACACCGGCCCCCGTCCCCTTTCACCCTCCCCCCCCTTCCCCCGAGCCTTGCTATGTAATGCTATACCGGCCCCCGTCCCCTGTCACCCCCCCCGTCCCCTGTCACCCTCCCTCCCCCCTTCCCCCGAGCCTTGCTATGTAAAGCTACACCGGCCCCCGTCCCCTGTCACCCTCCCCCCCTTCCCCCGAGCCTTGCTATGTAATGCTATACCGGCCCCCGCCCCTGTCACCCTCCCCCCTTCCCCCCGTCCTCTGTCACCCTTCCCTCCCCCCTTCCCCCGAGCCTTGCTAGTAATGCTATACCGGCCCCCGCCCCTGTCACCCTCCCCCCTTCCCCCCCGTCCTCTGTCACCCTTCCCCCCGAGCCTTGCTATGTAATGCTATACCGGCCCCGGCCCTGTCACCCTCCCCCCTTCCCCCCGTCCTCTGTCACCCTTCCCTCCCCCCTTCCCCCCGAGCCTTGCTATGTAATGCTATACCGGCCCCCGGCCCCTGTCACCCTCCCCCCTTCCCCCCCGTCCTCTGTCACCCTTCCCTCCCCCCTTCCCCCCCTGTCACCCCCTCCCCCCCTTACCCCGAGCCTTGCTATGTAATGCTATACCGGCCCCGTCCCCTGTCACCCCCCCCGTCCCTGTCACCCTCCCCCCCCGTCCCCTGTCACCCTTCCCTCCCCCTTCCCCCGAGCCTTGCTATGTAATGCCATACCGGCCCCCGTCCCCTGTCACCCTCCCTCCCCCCCTTCCCCCCCCGTCCTCTGTCACCCTCCCCCCCGTCCCCTGTCACCCTTCCCCCCCCCTTCCCCCGAGCCTTGCTATGTAATGCTATACCGGCCCCCGTCCCCTGTCACCCTCCCCCCCTCCCCCCTTCCCCGAGCCTTGCTATGTAAAGCCATACCGGCCCCCGTCCCCTGGTCCCCCCCCTTCTCCCGAGCCTTGCTACGTAATGCTATACCGGCCCCCGTCCCCTGTCACCCTTCCCTCCCCCCTTCCCCCGAGCCTTGCTATGTAAAGCTATACCGGCCCCCGTCCCCTGGTCCCCTCCCCCCTTCCCCCCCGTCCCCTGTCACCCTTCCCTCCCCCCTTCCCCTCCCCTGTCACCCTTCCCTCCCCCTCCCCCCCGTCCCCTGTCACCCTTCCTTCCCCCTTCCCCCGAGCCTTGCTATGTAAAGCCATACCGGCCCCGTCCCTGGTACCCTCCCCCCCTTCCCCGAGCCCTGCTATGTAATGCTACACGGCCCCCGTCCCCTTTCACCCTCCCCCCCCCCCCGAGCCTTGCTATGTAATGCTATACCGGCCCCCGTCCCCTGTCACCCCCCCCGTCCCCTGTCACCCTTCCCTCCCCCCTTCCCCCGAGCCTTGCTATGTAAAGCTACACCGGCCCCCGTCCCCTGTCACCCTCCCCCCTTCCCCCGAGCCTTGCTATGTAAAGCTACACGGCCCCCGCCCCCTGGCCCCCGTTCTCCACGTTCGCCGCCCACCCAGGCAGAAGCAAACACTGTCAATACCATTCGTGGCGAGCAATTGACCCGCTCATGCCGACGCGGCGATCTCGAGGAACGTGCGTCATCCTCATTCCGTGTCACTGTTGAACGGCTGCTTTCAAAACTGATCGTTAAGCTACGGTGTAAAATGAATGATGATTATGGGGTCATGTAAGTAAACATTGGTAAACATTTGGAGTAGTTTTATTTACAAACTGATCGTTATGCTACGGTGTATTTAGTGATGATTATGGTCTTGTAAGTAAACATTTGGAGTATTTTTATTTACAAATTGATTATGCTACGGTGTATTTAGTGATGATTATGGTCATGTAAGTAAACATTTGGAGTATTTTTATTTACAAACTGATTATGCTACGGTATATTTAGAGATGATTATAGCGATGTAATTAAACATCTCGAATATTTTTATTTACAATGTAGATTGTTATTTTTAGAGCATTATGATATAGAGGATGAGGGAAATAACGAAAGAGATCATATCTAAATAAAGTATTGATTATAGTCATTGTAGTGGAATGGGGTGGCAGCGGGGAGAGTGCACGACCCTGATATTCAGTACAGAGCAACACAATGGCATTTTTAAAAACATTCCCATTAAGCCTTCAATGATCATTAAGGTTTCAGATATCACTTTATACCAGGATGATTAGAGTGGTGTAATTATACACATTTGGATTTTTTTTTTTTTTTTTTTTTTTACAATGTAGTGTTATTTAGAGATCGTCCGTTAGCTTATAAATAACGCAGTTTTCTTTTTCTTTATTTTATTCATTTATATGAGAAATGTAGGAAATAATGAAAGTGATCAAATTTAATTTTCAGATACCACGTCAATTATAACACTACAGAACCGTGGAACTTTTGAAAAGGCCGGCGATACGGACCCCTATTTCTCAGTCTAAATATCTCTTAGGAAAATACATAGAATTACTATTTACAAAATCACTTTATATGTGAAATTCGAATTGTTTGCGAAAATTTTATATGCTGTAAAATAGCAGTAGGAGCTAAGACAGTAACAATACATTCCAAAATACTCCTTATTATATTATAGAACATGCACAGACTTATTTTTTTTCTAATCAAATTACAGAGAAAGCATACAATTATATTTCATATTGAATTAAATATGGTTCGGCAATAATAAGGTATGAAATTATCAATGAAAACTGCTAAACACTTCATGCTAAGTTGACGGAGTATAACCAATTTCTGAAATATCGTTACTAACTTAAATATATAGTTGTTGTGGCACTTCTGTTATTACGTCTAGTATTTATGGCAAAAGCCTGATGTATTGTAATCTATATTGTTTGAAACAGAGCTTAAGACAGTTATATCCGCAAATTCATTCCGTTAGCTTATAAATAATATATTTTTTATTCATTTATAGTTCGGGGAATCATTTTAAGTAAGACTGCTGGGGATTATAAATATTTTTTTACATTCCAGATCTCTTTATGGATGGGATAGAAAAACAAAGGATCAGCTGATTATATTTACTTTGGGGATTAGCAATAACATTTTATATACTGGCTTGATGTAAGGTAATGTGCTCACGTCACTGCAGTCACTAACACGATGAGGGATCTTTCTCTAAAGCTTTCTAAATACTTTTTTTTTCATTTTGCAACGTTGCATTGTCTCTTTCATGATTACGTTGTGTTAGTTTTCCGAGGATTTGTTTCACTACTACACATACACTGTATACTTCGGTGAGGGTGCTGTACACTAGTTCATACGATCTACGACAGAATTGTGGGAACTTTTTTTCTATCCATCGTCATTTTTTTTCTTGTCATTATGTGTTATGCGTATATGCTTTCCTCGATTCTAAATGCAATAATACTGAACCAAGATAAGCACCTCACACGTATTCCAGCTTTTCCAGAAACAGAATACTTGTTATTTATTCTCTAAATGACACAAATTGACTAAATTTCTATATAGTAGCAGGCGTTCTTTAGATTCTCCGACCAAAAAACACTTTCTTTCTTTGCCAATCTTTTCTTTGATTATCGGTAAACTCATAAATTGATTATCTGACAGCAGTGACCCATTGGACATATGGAAGGCACTGGGAAAGCTCGTCCCTTCCTTATTGTACCAAGTTTGAACAGCTTGGGTGATTTATTTTTATACCGTGTAGGACCTTGTCATTCTGGAAGGCACTGATGAACTCTTGCACTGCGCGTGTGTGTGTGTGTGTGTGTGTGTGTGTGTGTGTGTGTGTGTGTGTGTGTGTGTGTGTGTGTGTGTGTGTGTGTGTGTGTGTGTGTGTGTGTGTGTGTGTGTGTGCTTTTGTGTTGGTATTGTACTTTTAGTTTGTGAGGATGCCAGTTCGAGATTTTCATATTAATAGAACCATTTTTATCTGTGTTATATTTAAAGAGTTATGTGTCCATTACAGTAAGAACATGTCCGTAGAACATGGAATACGACCTACGATAGTGCCCTTATTTGATTGCTCTGGCTTAACAGTCTCTTTAGGCGAGAAGTGGCCAGTAGAATCGAGAAAGGTCGTTTAAATTCTCTTCCTTTTTGTCCGGAATCACGTACATGAATTTCCCTGCTCGGTTCAGGTAGACTTGCAAAGTTTCTTGTGCTTCGTAATAAAGCTTGCACGGCAGCACCACATGCTTGTCCATCAGTTCAATAACTTTACTGATAACCTCCCGGTCCTCCTCGCTGTTGCCGTCCATGAAGCGCTGGCTGTTGCGTATGTGGGTGTAGGCTTCCACCGTCCGCAGAATCTCCTTGCCGACCTTCTTGTTCCTCCTGACGACGTCCTTCGACCCGTCCTTGTCCCCCTGCTTCGGCCTCTCCACGCGGCAGCGCCTGCACTCGCCCGTCTTGCAGCTGACGGCCTCCGCGCACTCCAGGCACTTCATAGACACCTCGGCCGGGAAGTGGCTCTTCTCAGGCCAGTCGCTCTCGCACGCCTCGCACTTGCACAGGAAGTAGTAGTGGATGAGCAGGTGGTGGCGGCGCGCGGAGGTGTCCCTCTCGTAGTAGCGGAACCCGTAGAAGGTCGTCACTTCTCGCCGCTGGGATGAACCTCACCATACAGCGAGCGGGTCGCTGCCGTAGCTCGGCACTGCGCGCTCGGTTGCACGAGTGGTTCAGCAGACTCATGGTAGCGAGCACCTTCTCCCCCGACGTTCGCCCCGACCACGTCTCCGGTGAAATTATAGGATACCTGGAACACAAGAGAACAAATCCTCAAACATTTTTTCCGTCATAGCGCCAAACAATCTCTTGGATTTTTTTTTTTAAGAAAACGTTAGCATTGAACCATAAACTACCCATCTCATTACATATTAATCCTAAAAATAAAAATAAAAAATAGGACATTCCACGAACCAAATTCCTCCAGTGGCACTTAGGAGTAGCTACGAGTAAGGCCATCACTCATCCCCTTTACCTGTAAAATCTGTGAATATATTGCACCGGAGTTTCATGATGAGCGAGACCAGAGTGCTCCCCGTCAGCAGGACGTCCTCCTCGCTGGGACACACTGCCTCGCCGCGGCTGTTCACGAAGTACCTCCTGCTCATCTCCAGGAGCTTGGTGACGATGAAGGCCTCAATGCACCTGCCGAAGAGCTGTTTATTGGTATGGTGTTGTTTGTTCGAGCACAGGTGATAGATCGCACGGAAGTCGGAGGAACTGTATACGCCGTCTTCGTCGAACCCGAGCTTCTCCGGGGGGAGCGTCTCCGCTTCCTTCTTCAGCCTGGGGATCAGCTCCTTCAGGCGTGCGAAGGAGAGCTTCATGAGGATCCGGAAGGCGAGCACGCACGGAGTATCGCCGCTGAAGGCCGCCAGAGCAGGCAGAACCTCGCACTCCTGCTCGTGGAAGTCGGCGAGGCCCCGCTCTCGGCACTCCTCGCTGCAGAACACCACCTGGGGGCGGGGAAGGGGCACAGGAGCCGAGTCAGAGAGGGGCGGCGAAGGGGCACAGGAGCCGACCGGAAGACAGGAGCCGAGTCAGAGAGGGCGGGAAGGGCGAGCCGAAGAGAGGGGCGGGAAGACAGGAGCCGAGTCAGAGAGGGGAAGGGGCACAGGAGCCGAGTCAGAGAGGGGCGGGGAAGGGGCACAGGGCCGAGTCAGAGAGAGTCAGAGAGGGGCGGGAAGGGCACAGGAGCCGAGTCAGAGAGGGGCGGGGAAGGGGCACAGGAGCCGAGTCAGAGAGGGGCGGGAAGGGGCACAGGAGCCGAGTCAGAGAGGGGCGGGGAAGGGGCACAGGAGCCGAGTCAGAGAGGGGCGGGGAAGGGCCACAGGAGCCCGGGCGGGGAAGGGCACAGGAGCCGAGTCAGAGAGGGGCGGGGAAGGGCTCAGAGAGGGGCGCGTCCGGGTGTGAGGAAGGACGGCAGACATTTTTTTTTCTAAACACGAGCCATCGACAAAGGGAAAGTTTCAGATTAACTTCAAATATAGGAATTAATTAGTGTTTGGTATATTCATGTATCAAAATTTGGAAAATAAAGAATGCTATAAATCAGAGTCGTGGCATTCCTGGTTTTAGGCATTCAATTATGAATAAAGGCCCTGTTTACCGCTCGTACCTAGATTCAGAGCTTGTCCATCTACATATTAAGGGTAAGGCAACCAATAAAAATACATGAAACAAATGCGAATCGCTCTAAGGTGCCATAAACCATGTTAATTTGCCATGTTCGGGTACCAACCAATCAGCCACGATGCAAATACACACTCATGACAGCATCCTCTTAAAGACACTTGCCCATGGCAATATCCTCCTAAAGACATTTATTTATGATAGTTTCCTCTTAAAGAAACATGACGATATCCTCTTAAAGGCAACTTACTCATGACAATATCCTTTTAAAGACACATGACAATATCCTCTTAAAGGCAACTTCCTCATGACAATATCCTCTTAAAGAAACATGACAATATCCTCTCAAAAACACTTACTCATGACAACAACCTCCTAAATACACTTATGACAATATCCTCTTAAAGACACATGACAATATCCTCTCAAAAACACTTACTCATGACAACAACCTCCTAAATACACTTATGACAATATCCTCTTAAAGACACTCATGACAGTATCCTTTAAAAAGACACTTACTCATGGCAGTATCCTCTTAAAAACACTTATTATGACAATATCCTCATAAAGACACTTATGACAATATCTTCTCTGAACGCCTGAGCTGCTGAAAACTCCTAGGAAATGGAAGTACAATACAATACGTACTCTCTGTACTTCAGCTTCAACAGTGAGTGAATCCGTGAACGCAGATGTACTATAGATTCGAATGAAATTTAAGAAGCTGGTTTTAATGTGAACGAGACGTCAATGAACTACAAATGGGAATACATTTTAAGAAGTCGGTTTAGGGAGAGAGAGAGAGAGAGAGAGAGAGAGAGAGAGAGAGAGAGAGAGAGAGAGAGAGAGAGAGAAGAGAGAGAGAGAGAGAGAGAGAGAGAGAGAGAGAGAAAGAGAGAGAGAGAGAGAGAGAGAGAGAGAGAGAGAGAGAGAGAGAGAGAGAGAGAGAGAACCAGGCGACAGACAGACAGACAGACACAGACAAACATTCAAGCCATAGATTCGAACGCATCAAATTTGAGTTCGTTCGAGGGTGAATGCGAAGACGGAACTGAACCATACATCGAATATATATATTTTTTTCAAGAAGTTGGTTTAGAGCTGAATAATACGTTGTTTTTATTTTGAACGAGAATTAGATAACCATAGATTCCATACCATAAGATCATTTGGTTTGCGAATGAATTTGATCATTAATAAAAAAAAAAATCATAATAAATGAATGGACACACCAACAATATCTTAACATATCACAATATATCTTGTTAGAAACAAATATCACAATTGAACGGGCATTCTCGTCGCATATTTTTACAGTCTACATTTTTTTTTAAACTTTGAAGACGAAAGAAGCGGCTGATCCCCTTAAAGAGGGTCGCAGGAACCGAACGGAGCTGGACCGAGAGGGAAGCAGGGGAGGAGGAGGGAGAGAGAGAGGGAGGGAGGAGGAGAGAGAGAGAGAGAGAGAGAGAGAGAGGGAGGGAGGGAGGGAGGGAGGGAGAGGGGGGAGGGAGGGAGTAACTTTAAACTTGCCAGATATCAGAACTTTTTTTTGCAGGAGAGAATAAGCGCAACTGAACGGGGACAAATTCCGATAAAAAAGTGATAAAAGAATGAATGTAAAAAAAAAAAAAAAAAAAAAAAAAAAAAAAAAAAAAACGAAAATAGGGTCTCGGTGGAAAAAGAAAAGCCCGTGGGATGAATAGAGAAAAAAATTCTATTGCTCATTCACCGACCGGAACGAAAGACGCGCGGACGGAAGAAGCTAATAAAGAAGAGACAGACGAAGACCGAGGATTGAAGGGAGAGAGATAATACTAACCAGACAGCACGTAGGGCAGGGAAGGGGGTTGATGCTCCTGTTGCAGCAGGTGGTGCAGCGGCGGGCTAGAGAGGCTTCCTTCAAGCAAGTACAGAAGCTGTCCTCCACCAGTAGTGTCTCGCCTGCCAGGATATCGATTATCTTTAATCTTGGCATTGCCATGTCAAGACTCCCTGTCATGTATTGTTGCCGGACAAACTAGGAGTCAAAATGAATATACTTAGATAAGAGAAAGAGAGGGAGGAGAGGGAGAGGGGGGAGACAGAGAGAGAGAGAGAGACAGAGGCAGACAGACAGACAGACAGAGACAAATACAGATAGACAGACAGAAAAAGTAAGAGTCAGAATGAACATACTTAGATAAAAGAGAAGTTGACAGAGAGAGAGAGAGAGAGAGAGATGCAGATAGACAGAGACAGAAATAGTAAGATTCTGAATGAACATACTTAGATAAAAGAGAAATTGACAGAGAGAGAGAGAGAGACATACAGATACAGATAGACAGAGACAGATAGAGAGAGACGGAGATAGTAAGAGTCAGAATGAACATACTTAGATAAAAGAGAAATTGACAGAGGGAGAGAGAGAGAGAGAGAGAGACAGGCAGATACAGATACAGATAGACAGAGACAGAAACAGATAGAGACGACAGAATATAAGAGTCAGAATACAGATAAAAGAGAAATTTACAGAGAGAGAAAGATTGAGAGAGAGACAGACAGAGAGGGAGAGAGAGAGAAGGAGGGAGATATATGAATAGAGAGAGAGAAACAGAGACAGAGACAGACAGAATCAGACACAGACAGACAAGATATATAAACAGAGACGAGAGAAGGCACAGGAGGAACGTGCGCCTTTACCTGGGTAGACGTCCCGAGCGGTCACGATGTGTCTGCCTCGGTCGGGCTTGTAGGCCAGAGTCACGGCACTGCTGAGGGCGGGGATGTTCGGGTGGGGATCGCTCACTTTCGAAGTCGGGACCTCGGATTCGGACAACAGCGACTTCCGGAAGGTATCGGTGAAGATATGGCCTCCCGTCTGACTCTGCTGGTACAGTCTGAACCGCTCGTGGAACGTCTCCTCCCTGGGACGTCCGTGTAGGTGGCGGACGGCGAGCATTTCCATCTTGGAGGGCTTGTCGTCCTTGCCCCGGGCGTGGAGGCACCGCACCTTCCTCTTCATGAGCTTGGTCTCGTCGGGGTAGCCTGCCTGGAACGCGAGGTCGATGTCCCTGAGGCAGTCGTCGAAGTACCCGAGCTCCATGTGCACGGCGGACCTATTCGCGTAGCAGATGGCAAGTGTGTCGTAGTCCTCATAGGTGGATCTGTTGTCGATGCTCTCTGTGTCCTGGAGGCTGAACTCGCCCGGGGTGGACCTGCCCCTGCAGGAGCTGTTGTCGTTCAGCGTGGGGTGGGGCGCGAGCATGATGCCCTTGCTGTACAGCGATCTGGCCGTCTCGAAGTTGCCCATGTTGTAGTAGCGGTTCCCCTCGGAGCGACACACCTCGGCGCTCTCCTGGGACTTGGCGGCGGCGGGCACGTGGGGCGTGAGGAAGCGGTGCGCCTCGTGCATGCCCCACAGGTAGGCGAACATGTACTCCTCGTCGTCCTCGGGGTCGAAGTGGGTCATCGTCTCGCCCAGCTTGTGCTTGATCTCCTTCAGGAACTTGGTGATCATGGCCTTCAAGTTGAGCGTCTTCTCCATGGCGGAGTCGTTGCGGGCCGCCAGAAGATGCTTTACTTTTAACAGAAATTCTGAAATGGCAAAAGGAAGTCAGTGTTCTGCCAAGGACGTTAGCCTATATCCGAGGACCTTACCCTTTTTACTACCATGCTTCCTTTAGGATTTCTTCCTCTGCACCCCTTGCATCGTGAGCTAAAATTTCAGGGATATCGTCAAGGAACATAAAACCACGCAGCTCCACTTCCATTTTGCCTTTTGAACCCAAAGGTGAAAAAGACTTTTTTTCCCTAAAAGTAATTCTCACGTGGTTAATGCTAAAGGAAAACCGTTTGGTTTTTCGTAGAATTAATATCTGAAACTCGCAAAAGCGCAACTCCCCAATTGGCTTGAATGTGGTGACGTCCATAAGAGCTCTGCCCCCTTTCTGGACCTGCACCAATTTGTGTGATATTGTTAATATTAAAAGCATTTTACTTTGGAAAAATCATTCAGTAAAAAAAAAAAAAAAAAAAAAAAAACAAACAAACATTTGATATTTGCAAGGAATAAAGGTGATACGGCAGGCATAGCTCAGACATTCCCAACGAGGACTTTCATCAAGATGGAGTGGTCATACCTGTGTAAAGATACCTTGGATATCATAAGCAGCGATAGTTTTACTTTTTTTTCAGCCTCAATATTAGCCGAAGGCTTTTATTGAGAGGATAACAGGGAAAAAATGCTTCTGGTTTTTCCTACTTGATTTTCTAATGATTTTCTGAGTATGGCAATGATGATTCCCATAATCATGGAAAAACAAATTCACATTCACACACACACACACACACACACACACACACACCACACACACACACACACACACACACACACACACAACACACACACACA